TTCTTCATGGCTGCATAAAATTCCATTGTGTATAGATACCACATTTTCTTAATCCATTCATCAGTGGTGGGGCATCTTGGCTGTTTCCATAACTTGGCTATTGTGAATAGTGCCGCAATAAACATGGATGTGCAGGTGCCTCTGGAGTAACCTGTGTCACAGTCTTTTGGGTATATCCCCAAGAGTGGTATGCTGGATCAAATGGTAGATCAATGTTTAGCAAAAAAGCAATACATAAATGAGTATGTGAATACATATCTGACCAAGTGTGACAAGGGACTGGCTCCGTGTGAGGCAGGAGAGAGGAGCTCCCTCCCAGCTGAGCAGATGTCTTGGGTGTTGGACAGGGGACAACCAGTGCAAAGGCCCAGAGGTAAAACTGGCCTGGTCATGTTCTAAGGACCTCAGAGAGGCCAGGGCAGCTGGGAAGGGAGGATGGAGGAGTCAGCCCTGGCCTGACCCAAGGTCATTGGCCAGCAAGCCCTTTAGTCCATGGGTGGAAAGAGGTTGGAAGGTAAGCTCTGTATTTCTCTGAGTACAGGTCAGTGCTGCTCAGAACTCCAGGAAACGTCATTTATTCTGAGCCCTCCTGAGCGTCACTTTGCCTGGCATAGATATTCTATCAAAACACGAAACCCTTTCATCCGGGCCTCTCGCAGTCACTTCTTTACTGTGTGACCATCTGCTGTTTCAGCCTGGCAATAGATAATTTGAGAAATTTATCTTTATTATTCTGTCCAAATTCTGTGTGAATGTCCCTTGGAGAACAGTGGCACATCTAAAATCGATCTCCCCAAAGATCCACCCCTAAGTCATGGGGCAGGAGGAGCATAGGCTGACCTCTGACCCCAGGCTCCCCAGTCCCTTCCATGAGTCCTGATGAGAAAGCACGCTAGGCGGGCAGCTAGCCCGTCCCCCTCTGATGAAGCTCGGTGGGGGCCGGGGCAGCTGTCAAGGTGGATCAGGATTAAAACCCAGGAGGCCTCAACATGAGTGCAATTTAGTTCAACCTGCACAGACAAAGGGAGAGCTAATGGTATGACTGCAGCTTAAAAATGACTGGTGGTGTTCTGGGATGTGGGAGACAGGGAGGATCAGGTGCTGAAGACTGAAGGGCCCGAAGCCTCATGCCGGGTCCCCTGTATCTTTGGGGAGCCTCACCCCATCATCCTATGCCTTCCTTTCCTTAGCTAATAAAGGTCAGCTTAGTGCTCTTTTCTACTTCTCAGCTGCAAGACAGAAAAGACGGATTCTCTGAGTGAAGCCAGGCTGGGGACCAGGAGTCCCTCCCCATATTGTCCCCCACACCACTTGCATTTTTTAGGAGTGGAGACAGGGGGAAGTCACAGACTTCTGAGACCCACCGACGTCTGGGCTGTGCCCAAGCAGGATTTGTTCCTGGTGATCCAATGCCCTCTGCAGGACATTGGCAGCAGTGCATGCAGTTGGCAGCATCAGGGGGATCTATGTGAACAGAAAGAAGCCACAGCAATGAGGCCAGACAGACGCTCAGTATCACTGTCACTGTGATCCAGGTGTGGCAGGGCCATGTGTCCTCTGGGCACCCCTGGGAAAGATCCTTCTTGTCTCTCATAGCTTCTGTGTGGCTCCACTCCGTCTCCATCTCCACGCACCTGTGCATGCGTGCGTGTGTACGTTATCTATCTCCCACTTATGATTGACTTTAGGGCTCACCTGGACCATGCAGGAACCCATGTCAAGATCCTTAATCCCACATCACTTTGAGGTCAGGTTCACAGGTTCCAGGGAGCAGGACCTGGTATCTTTGGCAACCATCCATGAGTACCCCCTCAAGTGGCTTACTGCTGTGTGAACAGGAAAGTAGGCTTACTCAGAGGTCTTCCATCCAGGGGATGGGGGCTGGAAGGACTGGGGGGGTGGCAGTGGAGAGGGGGCTGTTAATCCTGGCCTGTGAGGGATGGAGTTAAGGAAATGTGTTTCAGAAGTGAAAGTGGGGTTGTGTCTTAGATGGTGGTTCGCCTGCATGCCTGGAGGACAGGCACTGGGCAGAGGACTCTGCCCAGGGTTGGCGTGACACTGTGCTCAGAGGGACTGCTCTGGGGCTTGTGCTCACACACAAGCAGGGTCTGGCCTCTGTCCTGCCCTGCACAGAGATGTCTTCCTCCTTGCAGACCGAGAGGCTGGGCTGCAGTTTCTTCTCCTAGCTAAGCATTTACAGCCCACAGCCTCACCTTGACCTTGTCACCCTAGGTGCCTCCTGGCAGGCTATTCCCTGTCCTTCAGTTCAACACATATGACTGGGCCAGGTCCTCTGTGGGTGGATCAGGTGGCAGACGGGGAGGAAAAGACCCCCTCCCCAAACCAACATCATCCAGGTAGGAATGGATCAAAAGCTTCATGGAGAATCATGGGGCTATGGAGGAGGGCAATCCACATTAAGTGGGGTCAAGGTTGGGAAAGGACTGGAAGGACAGGCAACCTGATGTTTCTCAGCAAAGCTTTACTGAGGTATATATAATTCACATCCTGCACAACTCACCCATTCTATGGCTTTGAATGCATTCAGGATTGTGCAGTCCTCACCACAATCTGTTTTAAAACATTTTCATCACCTCAAAAAGAAACCCACACCCACTGGCAGTCATTCCCCATGCCCCTCTCCTCCCCTTGGCTACCATTAATCTGCTTTCTGTCTCTATGGATTTGCCTGTCTGGACATTTCTCATGAATACAGTAGGATCCTACAACGTGTGGTTTGTGTGACTGCCTTCTTTCACTGAACATTGTGGTTTCAGGGCTCATCCAAGCTGTAGCATGTGTCAGAATGCCATTCTTTTTTATGGCTGAATAATATTCTATTGGATGGATAGACTACATTGTGTTCATCGGTTAGTGGACGTTTATTTCCAATTTGGAGTTATTATGAAAAATGCTGCTGTAGACATCCATATACAGGTTTTTATGCAGACTCGTTTTCTTTATACCTAGGAGTGGAATGGTGAATTACATAACTCTACAGATAGCATTTGTCCCCAGCAGCTGCTCCATCTGCAATCTCACCAGCAGCACGTGTGTTCTGATTTCTTTTCATCCTTGCCAACACTTGGTGTCCTACTATGATAATGGCCCCAGTGGGGGTGAAACTTCTCATTGTGGTTCCAATTTGCAATTTCCTGGTGGATAATGACACTGAGAACTTTTTGTGCAATTGTTGGCCACCTGTAAATCTTTTCTGGAGCGATGTCTGCTCCAGTCCTCTATTCATCTTTTTATTATTGAACTGCACGTTTTCCTACCGTGTTCATGATGAGAGTCCATTAGCAGATTAGGTCTGACTTTTTAACTTGCACTCTGTGCAAGTCTTTTGACTTTCTTGACGATGTGCTGTGAAGCACAAAAGTTGCTCATTTCAGCGAAGTCCAACTGACACCTTTTGTCCTTTGGTTGCTTGTGCTTTTGGTGACATTTCTAAGGACCATTGCCTAGCCCAAGGTCATGAAAATTTGCCCCTGTGTTTTCTTCTAAGGTCTTTGATCTGTTTTGAGTCATCTTTTATGCACGGGGTGAGGCGGAGGCCCAGCTCCGTCCTTTGGCACAGACATGTCCAGTTGTCCCAGCACCGTTAGTGGAGCTGTGTTGGTGTCCTGTTGAGAATGGCAGTGAGAGTGCCGACCTCCACCTCCCACCTGTGTGGGACTGAGCGAGCCACTTCCTGGTGACATGAGACTGGTTTGTGAGGTGTTGGAGGATTAAACATTTTCCTTTGCATGTGCGCTTGGTTTATCTTTGCATATTAACCTGTCATTCATTCTCATTGTAGGCAAAATGGGAAACACCAAAAAAAGTACAAAGAATCAGAAAAAAACCAAACCTAATCAAATGCCACCAAATGCCAATCATTGCTACAATTTGGGGACATCTCTTTCCTGCCTCAAATACACACACACACACACACACACACACACACACACACAAACACTGTTCACTTGGGTTTAGGAAGTTGGGGAAGTAAGCAGGTAAAGCATTTTAGAACAAAGTTACAGGTTAGACTAGGAGGTCCACAAGTCAGGCGCCCTCCCCAACCCCAGTAAACCTATTCTGTATGTAATTCTGCCTGTGTGTTTGTGTGTGTGTGTGTGTGTGTGTGTGTGTGTGTGCGCGCAACCACCTGCCTTTCAAGCATCCCCACTTCCAAATGCAGCAGGATGGGTCTGGGGTCAGAAGCCCCCAGGTGGGCCGTGCAGAGTGACCTCAGTGCTCTTAACCTCACTTCTCAGATGCTTATTTTATGTGCATTTTCCTATTTGTTAGCTGCAACTTTTTTTAACTTTTTATTGAAAAAAATATTAAAAAGCATATAAATCATGAGCATCCAGCTCCATGAATTCCAACAAAGTACATGCCTAGTGTCACAGTCCCCAGATACAGAAACAGACGCCAGAGTCCTGGCCAGCTGGTCACTGGCACCCAGTGCCCACTCCCTGACTTCCCACAGCAGGCCTCCCACTGCTTCTGGCCTTAATCTGTGTAAACACAAGCAGAATCACTCTGTGGGGTCTCTTGGGGTCCGGTTTTTCCGCCTTGAAGTTATGTATGTAGATGTATCCAAGTTATTTCGCGGATTTATTCATTCTGTGTGTGATTTGTAAATTCCCAAAGCTCTTTGTACACAGATGGATAAAAAGAAATCTATCTATCTATGTACATGTGTGTATGTGTGTACCGGTGCACACACGGTATGTACAGATAGACACATAACCGCAGATGCAGGTACCTCACAAGTAGACTTATAAACTGATACTCAGCGAACACACCAGAATTCACTTCTCCTTGCTAGGGATGGCCTGCACTTCAGCCAGTTTGGGACAGTTTAGGGCAGAGAAACACAGCATCATTTAACCCCAGATGGCCTCTCCCAGGATGGTTCTGGAAGCACAGGGTCAGCAAGGGCACGCACGGCGCACGGCTGGGGCGCACGGCTGGGGCGCGGCCCCTGACCTCCGCTCCGCTCTCCCCAGGCGGAGGAGGGTGGTGCCTCCGGCCCCCGGCAGCCTCGCGCCGACCGCTGCCCGCCGCCCCCGCGGACGCTGCCCCCCGGCGCCTGCCAGGCCGCCCGCTGCCAGGCGGACTCCGAGTGCCCGCGGCACCGGCGCTGCTGCTACAACGGCTGCGCCTACGCCTGCCTGGAGGCCGTGCCGCCGCCGCCAGGTAAGCCGGGCCGGGCCGGGGCGGGAAGGGCACGGGGGTGGGGGTGAGGGTCGGTGGAGGGCGGTGCACCTGGCGCCTGGGCGGGGACGGGGGAGCAAAGCTGCACCTAGACTGGGCCACCGGGACGCCACCTGCGAGCTCATTGGGCACCGCTGCCCCCGCTACACCTGCTGTGCTGTGCACCCCACCTACGCTCAGGGAGACACCCATCCCAGGGACAATGCCACCTTCCGGGAGGCGGGGTGAGATTCCTCCTTCAAAACAAACAACAGATTTGGGACTTTTCTTAAAGGTATCGGGCTACAGGCCCTACACCCCCAGGAGCCTCCCCCCACCCTGGTCAGGCCCTTCACTCCTGTGAAGAGCGTGGGTACCTGGGGTGCAGCCGGGTGTGTCCCGGGGAGCATGGCTGCAGGGGCCAGGACTCCCCATCCCCATCCCTACTCCCACCCAAGTGCTGATGCGCAGCTCATGAGAGCCAGAAGGCTGGGACACTCAGGGACTGGGAGCAGAACCAGATGTTGGCTGCACCTTGGGGAAAAGCGGTCCTCGGGCCGCACCTGGCCTGGCGGGAAGGGAAGGTCTTACAGCCCTTGGGGAGAGGACTTGGCGTGGAAGGAAGGGACCCCGCTAGGGACAGGACGTGGGGGTGGGGTGGACAGGTGGGAAAATGGCCGTGGAGTGGGGAAGAGGGGGGACAGCGAGGGCTCCTCTGCGCTCAGCTCTGTTCCAGGTAACATCTGCGTGTTTGGGCCTCTTTCCTCTGAGCTGGCAGTTCCCACGGGCCATAATTACCAAGTCACCTTTGAGGAGATGGCCTGCCCCTCCTCCCAGGCTGGGAGAGGTTGGAGAAGGCAAGAGCGGCTGCACTGTTTTCTTTTAGGGTGAGGTCACTGCGACAGTGAGTCCCTCAGCACAATTAATAAGGCTCGTTATCACAGTCTGGGTATTGTGTTGGACTGGTGCCTCAGGGCAGAGACCAGCAGGTGCTCAGGGCCACCAGCTTTCATGAGAAAAGCTAAGTGAAGCCCCCTCCTGGTGGAAGAGCACATAAAGACCCCTCCCTCCTTGGTGGGACAATTGGAAAGGCCCCCTTCCTCTGCAGTGCCACAGTCATGGGGAGCTGCTGCCTGGCTTGGTGTCTAGGCTAAGAGCACCCCCCCACTTTTTTCCTTTCTTCCTTCCTTCCTTCCTTCCTCCCTCCCTCCCTTCCTACCTCCCTCCCATCCTCCCTCCCTCCCTTTCTCCCTCCCTCCCTTCCTGCCTCCCTCCCATCCTCCCTCCCTCCCTTCCTGCCTCCCTCCCTTCCTCCCTCCCTCCCCTCCAGCAGGATCTCACTGTGTAGCACAGTCTGGCCTTCAAATTAGCAATCCTCACTAGTGCCAGGATCACAGGCTGTGCTTCTGAGCAGTGCACAAACTATACAACTGTCCGTGCCATTCCCAACAGTGGTGCCACACATCACATCATTTCACAGCTCCATGAGATCCAAATATCATTAGTCTAATTTACAGCCAAAGACACTTGCCCAAGGTCACACAGCAGACAGAGTGGCAGGGTGAGTCCAGCATGTGACCGTAGAGAAGAGCTCATTGCCATAGGCCCTGCATACAGGGGTGGGCCCCTGCTCCTACACGTGGGTCTCTGCCTGGAACGTCCTCCCTGCAAACCCTCAAGGCACTTCCTCACCTCACTGAGACCTTGCCCAGAGACCCCTTCCTTGGGGAATATTTTCCCCATGATGTAAGTCCCTCCTCTGATCATTCCTTCCCTTCCTTCCTCCTAAATCTCTCTCCATCTGGTGGTCCAGACGACTGCGTTTGCTGGGTTGGTACCCTGACTGTCCCCACTACTTGCGGGTTGGCCCCACAGGGCAGAGTTTTATCTATTTTGTTCCCTGCTGTGTCCTAGCCTGGAACACAGTCTCTGAACACAAACAAGGTACCCCGTAAATAGCGAATGAGTGAGTGTAATCAGCAGGAAGAGCAGGTATGCCATTCCTTAGCAACTTGAGGTTTCTCAGCCTTGGCCTTGATATTGGAGGTGGGTATTTGAGTTAGGGGTTTAGCCGCATTCCTGGCCTCTGCCCACTGGGGGCGCTGGGGGCTGTGAGCCTCCTGGTTTCTTCCTCGGGAGCCTCTGCAGTTGTGACAAGGGGTTTGGCTCAGCTGCCTGGCGGGGGCTTCAATTTGACCATGTTCCCTGTTAGTTTTAGACTGGCTGGTGCAGCCAAAACCCCGATGGCTTGGTGGTAACGGTTGGCTACTGGACGGCCCTGAGGAGGTGTTGCAAGGTACAGGGGCACACTCAGACCTTGGTGGAGCCGGGCCCTCCTTCTCAAGCTGACTGAAAACCCACAGCACAGGCTGGCTGCCCCCACGTGGGGGCCTTTGGTTACATCCGCAGCCGCCTGACCTTCTTACCCCAGCTCAGAACGGTCCTAGAGCTGAGGACAGAAAAAGGACTTGACCTTCCTTAAAAGCAGGCTCTCCTTCCTGGGTGGAGAATGGAAAGGAAGGGGGGAGGGGGCTGGGATTGGCTCGCAGACCCTAATATCAAAATAAGGGATTCATTGCCTCCTGATGGGGAAGCCACCCTCGGAGGCAAGGGGTGGGGAGCAGATTCTGAAAGGAATGCTGGGAAGGCCCAGAGCCCAGGGTTTGTGGGGAATGAGCGCGGGCATTTGTGTGTGTGTGTGTGTGCGCCCATCAGGGCGTGCGGCTGCACTCAAGGCTGTTCTTGTGTGTGTGCGCAGGCACATGTGTGACGGTGTGTGAGCACGGGGGTGAATGTGTGATGTAAGTGTTGAGATTTGTGTGTGGGAGTGGACGTGTGCACATGTGGCTATAGCTGAGTGTGCATGAGTGTTTTGGGGTGCCAGTGAGGTCATGTGGCTGTGGACTGCCTCTGTGTGTGTTCATGTGTGTGTTTGTGTGTGTGTGTGAGCTTGAGGGGGTGCACACAAGGGGCAGCCTCTCTGGACAGGGTGCATTGTCTGTACCTTCGGGTCTGCCCTCTGACACCTGGCCTGTGTCCCTCCCACAGCAGAGGCATGCAGCACCACTGAGGATGGGGCAGAGCCGCTACTCTGTCCCTCAGGCTATGAGTGCCACATTCTCAGCCCTGGCGATGTGGCCGAGGGCATCCCCAACCGAGGGCAGTGCGTCAAGCAGCGCCGGCAGGCAGGTGAGTGTGTGCACCCCAAGCCTTGTTCCTGGTCCTGCCCCAGAGCTCCTCCCCACCACCCCCATGCCCAGCTCCTTCTTTGGTGTCCTGCCTCATTGGCATATGGCTCGGTTCTCCATCCAGCAGACTGGTTGTGACACCCAGCTCTGTGTCCTCTGTCTGGGTGACCTTGGGGTCCATTTTGTCATCTCTTTCTGAGCCTCAGTTTCCTCCTCTGTCCAGTACTACACACTGCTCTGGGGAGGAATAAAAGCATACACACAAAGCCCTCAGAATGAGCCAGCGATGACAGGTGGTCAGTACACAGTGGAGAGCTCATGTCCTCCTCTATGCCTACTTACACTGCACAGAATGTGAATCGTCCAAGGGCCCTGAGTTTCCCAGGACGTCACCAGGATGTCAGTTTGCCATTGTTAGTGTCTGTCTTTGGAGATGAGGGCAAATAATGTGTCGTGAGTGGTGTGCTCCAGCCTGCACAACTCCCTGAGGAGGGACGGGACCCAGAGCAAGGCTCCCGGGGGTGCCTAAGTCCTTTGTGCCTCTTGTGAGCATTGGTGGAGAGACACCTGCCTGTTTGGAATCCGGGGATCAGGAACTTCAGAGAGCTCCCTGTTCACCTTGACAAAATGACATCATCAAACTTGAGACCACGAACACACATCCCCACTCCTGCATCTCTTGGCTCTAACAGCTAAGGTCAAGCCCCTCTGTCAAGATTGATGATAGCAATACAGTGACCCCATTCCCCCAAAGGACAGAGGGAGAGGGGCACCTGATGTGCTCCCCCCACCGAAAATTTCTCTGCAGTGTTTCAGGAGAGGCATCGGCATAAAATTAGGTCTTCCTGGACGTAGGATGGGGTGGTGTTCCAGTAAACCCACACAAATTGAAAATGTGCAAAGTTGAAATATGCCTCAGGCTGGGCGCATCCTAGCCTAGTCACACACCTGCTGTAGTCTGAAAAGTCAAGACTGCAAAATTCCAAGCACAGTTTCTACCGAACACATGTGGCTTCTGCACCATCATAAAGTTGGAAACTTGCAAGTGGAACCACTGTAGTTACACATCCCGCATCACCCACCATGAGTCGGGACCGTGTGTAGTTACACATCCCGCATCACTGTCGTTGCAGAGAATTAGAAGATGTTGCACGAATCCTGGTTCCTGGAGCTCTGAACTTCAGGAAATCACTGAAGGGATTTGAACCTGATAGCTGAGTGACACCTTATCCCAAAAAATAACTTCCCCACTGTGGCCTTCCTAGGCTGGGTTCTCTCTTGGTCCTTTACTTTTGGGAGTCTCATTTTCCTCATCTGTGAAATGGGCCAGTTACAGCTGAGCTTCTTGGCAGGGCTTGGTCAGGATTGACAGGTAAACCCCACAGGCCATGTGTGTCGCCAAACAGAGCACCATCTTCCCTATCTCACCTCTCCATTGACTAGACATCAGGTGACATTGGGGAGTGGTGGGGAGTTGGGCTGTGGTCCTGGGAATGGAGAATGCACTGGGCAGAGAGTCAGCCATGTGCAAAAGAGACTTGCGGGTGGCTTAGGAGTCTTTGGACCATTATGTCATTGGCACCGCAGGGATGGCCCTGTCTCTACTCCTGACTTTGCTCATTCAGTTGTGTGACCTCTAAGACAGGGGCAAGCCAAACCAGTTCAAACCAGCTCTGGAGGGGCAGAGATGAGCAAAGAGTGTGGATAGTCAAACACAACTACACTATGAACTTCTAGACTGAGCCCCTCCCCATAGCTCTGTCCTCAGGCTTCCCAGCAGGCCGGCACAGAAGTGTGACAGAGTGACCAGAGGCTCAAAGCCTGCATCTTCCTTCCAGGCTGGTTTTGGGAAGGTCACCTGCCCTTTCTCAGCCTCTGCTGTAAAATGGGAATGATGACATAATAATTACTGTAGTGGCCTGGGAGAGAGCACACCTGGGAAGTGCTCAGAATGGCACCTGACACAGTAGGTCATCACTGAATGTGCCTGGCTATCATCCCTGTTGGGGGCACATGCAGAAGCCAGCTAGATGCTGCACACAGTTAATGAAGGACACAGCTGGAATCCCAAGCCTGTCCACTGGCTGCAAAACTCCTGTGTGCACACATGCACATATGCGTGCAAGTGTGTGCGTGCCTGCCTTCCACAGCCTTCTAGAGGGATGATCCCCAAGGGCAGTCACTTAGCAGTGACTGTTGTTGATTTGCTGGTAATAGCACCAGACTTTGGAAATATCTCAAGTCCAGCCACTTCCTTTGGAGCCATACTCTGAGCGGCACAGTGGCGCCCTCCTGTCCCAGCACTGGCAAGGAGGAAAATTCTGGTTCAACTTTATGTGTGATGGCCTGTCTGAAATCATCTCTGGCTTAGAGAAATGTCTGGGGGCACAAATAGTCCTGCGGCTGGCCTCCCAGGTCCACTTGTTAAAATGGTGCCACCCTGGCTTTCTCCTGCCCTCTCTCCCCCTCCCCACTCTGTGGTCTTTCTGAACTATTTGAGAATGAGTTGTAGACCTCATGCCCACTCTAAGCACAAATCTCCCTGCCAAAGGCTTTTCGGGGCAATGGTCACTCGAGCTTTATGGCCTGGTAGCTGGAACCAAGCACTTGAGCAGCCCATGTCTTCCTGAGAAGACAGTGGACGTGGATGCGTGCAATAAATGAGCATTTTAAGCAGAGTCGGAGGGCATTAATGCATTTTCCTGAGTGGGTTCAGGGTTACTAAGAAAGGGGAGTTGGGGGGCCAGGATGCTGGACTGGGAGAATTAAGTGGGGCTCAGGCACCTTGAGCAGGACAGGGTTGTGTGACACAGTAGGGTGTCATGTGGCACAGCAGGGGGTCGTCACTTTTGGTGAGGAGTCACTTTTGGCCTGAGGAGGTGTCCAGTGTCCACACGTGCCGCTGACCCCACTACGAACCCACATGAGTCCTTCCTCCTGGAAGTTGTTTCCTCCAGAACTTGTCACAGCAAAAGACACGACTGGCAGAGCCCAAAGCGCCTGAGGGTTTATCTTCTGTTTTCCAGATGGGCGGTTCCTGAGACCCAGGTTTTACAAAGAATATCCAGGTGAGGAGAAAACACTCTTCTCAGAGATGAAAGGCAGCAAGGATTTCCTAGATGAAGGAGAAAAGACAGAAACCCAGGGCCAACATGGAGGAACAAAGGGACTGAAGGAGAGTCTTGGTTTTGATATCAGGCATGGCGGGCGTGAGCCAGGGGGGCAATCGCAGTGACCATGGCCTCATGCTGGCCATGCGAACCTGGGCCTGGCCTTGCTTTCATCCCTCCCACCTTCATTCTAGGAATGGAAAAGACGGCCAACATCATCCTTCATCTGTCCATCCATCCACCATCCATCCCTCTGTCCATCCACCCATCCCTCCATCCCTCCATCCATGCATCTATCCATGCATGCATGCATCCATCCATCCATGCATCCATCCTCCATCCCTCCATCCACCCATCCCTCCATCCCTCCATCCATGCATGCATCCATCCATCCATGCATCCATCCCTCCATCCCTCCATCCCTCCATCCATCCCTCCAACCCTCCATCCATCCCTCCATCCCTCTATCCATCCCTCCAACCCTCCATCCATCCCTCCATGCATGCATGCATCCATCCATCCATCCATGTATCCATCTCTCTATCCCTCCATCCATGCATCCATGCATCCATCCATCCATCCATCCATGCATCTACCCATCCATCCATCCATCCATCCTTCCACTCAACCATCTACTGACCTACCCACCTGTCCCTTCATCCATTCTTCCTTCCTTCCATCCCTCCATCCATCCCTCTGACTCTTCTCAACAATTTACAACACATTTACCAAGCATTATCCATCACACTGGGCTGGAGGTCGGGGCTATCTTTATAAACATGACAGACCCTATTCCTGCCACCATACAGCTCCTATCAGTCAGGAAATTTGAATATTAATAAAGGCTAAGTGGTTATTTCACAATAATGATGACAAGGGCTCTGATACTACATGCTGAATACTAGGAGAACACCTTAGACCACGTTGGGAACAAGGACTTCCTAACGAGGGGAGGGGAGCTCGGCAGCGAGAGCAGGAGGTTGTGGGCAGAGGAAGGTGTGTGACAAATCTTGGGCTGGGCACTGCTTGGGTCCTTCAGCAGGGTAGTGATGAGCAGGGCTGAGTGGCTGGAGTAGAGAGTGAGGCTAAAATGCAGGTGGGGGGGTGGTGGTTGGGGACGTGGGGGGGGATGCTGGTGTATTCTGAGTAACCTCACATGGGGGAGGGGGCCCAGGGCCAGGGCCAGCTCACCAGCCAGGCCAAGCCCTTTAACTTTACACCATGGCAGACTTCTGAGCAGGACTAGACACCCTACCCTCATGGGACCGTGTCCTTGTTGCAGACGGTGACTCAAAGAATGTGGCAGAACCTGGAAAGGGACAACAGAGGCCCTTTCAATAAAGCAACAGCAGACAGGTAAGAGGGGAGAGAGCCCTGGGAGGGGTGGACTTGCGGTCAGGTGTCCCAGACAACCATCATCAACATTGGCAGTGGTGGGCAGGGACGTGAGCTGAGAGACTCATATTACACCCTGGACTCCCAGGGGACATAGGAATCTGTGTATGGTCAGTGGCAGAAATGTTTCTGTGCTCCTGGGGACCTAAACCTAAGACCAGGCTAGCTGGTGACTCTCCTTTTTAGTAGCCTCTGATGTCCCCTAACTGTCTGTCTCCCCTCATTCCCCCACCCCCCGCACTTCTGTCAAGCAGTCTATAGGGAGCAATCACGTGACAGACTTGGTACCAGGCACCTACTGCTCGGCAGCAGTCTGTGGGCACCTACTGTATGCCAGGCATGATCCTGGGTCATCCCAGTGAACAAATCCAACATGATTTCTGTTCTGTTGGTTAGGAAACTAACCAAGCCAATGTGCACACAGACAAGCAGACATCAGATGTAAAAAGTGTTGTGCGGGCAACAGCAGCGATGTGGTGCAGAACACCTTCTTGAAGGAGGTGACATTGAACTCAGATCTAAGGATGAGCAGATGCCACCTGGGGAAGGCAGGCTGACCAAGGCCCACGCAGAGGGAGCTGAAGAACAGGAGTCCCGAGTGGGGAGGTCTCGGTGTTGAGGGATGAACAGGAGGCCACTGGGTGGGGACATAAGGACACTGAGGAGGCTGCTGAACAGGGCCTCTGCTCTCAGCCATCCCCAGGTGAGACACCCTGCAGGTGTGTGCAAAGGGCGGTAAGGTGGCAGCCACCAGAGTCCCCACCTGCAAACCTGAGAACCTGCCCAGGTCCCCAAAAGCTGACAGCTCACAGGACAAATGAAAGCCACAGAGTCAGGAGGCTCCCCGGGGGTCCTCAGAAGGAAACAGCAGATTTCAGATCCCAGAATATCCGGACCAAGTCCTCCAGGAAACTCAGAGCCAATGGCGACTGAGGCCAGCTATGTCTGTTACCTGCCAATGACAGGTGACATCCCTACCGTGTGTCTGGCACAGTGGAGACCTGTGAGCTTGCAACAGGGGAGTCTGGGGCCAAGGAGCAGCACGGGGCCTCGAGCTGCAGCCCAGGTTGTGTGTGGAAGTACCAGCTGTGGGGGAGCCGAGCCCAGCTTTCCATTCCTGCTCCCTCACGTGTGACGTTAAGAAAATGACTCAATTCTCCAAGCCTCAGTTTCCTCATCTATGAAATGTGCACAACGGTGAGGGATTTGTTGGGACCTAAATCACAGAATACCCACAGAGACTTCTTAGGGAGTTAAGAATTCAATCTGTGTCGAAACTAGCATCTTTCTGACATTCCTGGTGGGGCCAGGGAGAGAGGGTGCAAAGCAGACTTGTCACCTCATGTCTTTCTCCTTTGTTTCCTTTACAGCCCGTGTGTAATAACATCCACCATTCTCTGCTAAGCCTTGGAAACACTCAAGAAAACAGTTTGGCCCCCCGGAGGTCACACCCGGCTCTGTGGACAGAGCTTGGTGCTGCTTGGGGCCCTGACTCTGTGGGGACCCCTGAAGGGCTCTGGGTCCCTGTGACACATGCACCTGCATCTCCAACCACTTCTGACCCTGGGGAGAATCCACACCTGTGGGAGGGTTTCCAAGCCCCACAGTTTAGCATTGTGATTTTTGCAAGTTTTGTCCAGGTCTGACTCTGGAAAACATACACCTGTCCCAAGTGTTCTCTAAATAAACCCACCACCATAAAATGGAAATGAACTCACCTGCTCCTGTGGGAGGCTCAGTTTTAACCACTTGACCTTGGATGGGAAGTCTGAATATTAGGAGCAGCGGGAGAACAGGCTCTGAAGGCATGAAGCAGGAGACAGGGTGGGTTTGTCAAGACGAGGTTGCAACTCAGCTCTGTGCCTGGAACCCAGGACCATCTACTGCAGAGTCCTCTGAAGGAGGCCCCGGGAGGGGCTTGCTGAAAACCATTTATTAGGACTATTCCTAGGAAAAAGTGCCAGGGAGCAGGAAGTAGAACAAGCGTAGATGGCTTTGGTGCAGTCCATGGTGCGGGGGCGGGGGGGGGGTGAGGGAGGAGTGGGGAACCTGGTCCAGTCGGGCTGGCTCAGGGTGTTCAGCCTGCACAGCTGTGCACGGGGACCCACACTTGGTCTGCAGGTGACATCTGTCTGTGATGATCTGGAGTTGACATCTGAGGACAGGAATCGTTGAACAAGGGGCCTACTTGTTCATCTTGTAAACAATGTGGGTGTCCCTGAGTCATACTGTGGATTTGTCACACTGGAGCTGAGTGTTCATAAGGCTTTCAGCACCTTCAGTGCAGGGTGAGGGCTGCCCCGTGGGGGGAACAGGGTGGGGCAATTCCAGGGACAGCCCACCTCCTGCCAGGGAGCATAGGGCATGAGGGATGTAAAGGGACTCAGCTGAGACCCAAGACATCTGTCACACAATCCAAGTGTTGTCAGCATCTGCACAAAAATGCACCCACACCACGTAGGCTGTGGGGGTGCGAGTTCACAGCCACCTGTCCCTTTCAAAAGAGCCCATGATCATTGATGTTAATTCTGAAGTGGGCTGGCATGGAGATAACACCCAGATCTCCATTTTAAAAAAGAGCACCTCTCCTGTGCCTGTCACAGTCCCCATGCATGCACACACTCTTCCTCCCCATAAAACATGGTCTCCTGGAGAGGCTCCCAACCTTTGGTGCTGCATGGCCCACCCTGGACCTGACTGGCTTGGAAACTAGTGACAGTTTCCACCTTGACCTGAAGTCTGAGCAGACATCCACCATCCAGGGCCAGAGAGAGCTCTGTGTTCCCGTGCTGGCACTGCTGGGCACTAGCAGACCCTGGGCAAGGGCTCAGCCTCCCTGAGCCTCAGTTTCCACCACTTTGAAATGGGATGACACCTGCAGTGCCTGACATAAGACCAGACGAGATGAGGGTGTGAAAACAGAAACTTCCAAGAATAAGAGGAGAGAGGCAAAGGGTCACTGAAGACCCTGGTGCAGGGCTGGAGGGGCCCAGAGACAGTGACCACTGTGACGATGGAAGCCAGCTCAAGCCAGCTGGGGAAACAGCTGCAAGGCAGGGCAGTGTGGAGGAGAGGTAAGTGAGGGGCTGAGTCCCGGCTCTAAAGGGACAGATGCTTGCTTTCTTTTGCCAGTAATTGCCTAATCCAATGAGGTCACACTTCACACAAAGGCCATCCACCTGTTTCATTGTTTTCTTAAGAAAAAACAAATTGCTAAAAGCTTTGAAATAATGGTAAATTCATAGGACACAAAAAGGAACGTGTAGGGCCATCTGTGTGCCCTTGGGTCCTCCCCCCAAAGACAACATCTTGCACAACTGCACTCACACAAAACCAGGAAACTGATGGTGGTACAATCCACAGAATGTGCTCAATGCCTCCTGTCTGCAGACATGTCTGTCGTTGATCTGTCCATCTATGTATCTTCAGTCTTACCGACTGAGTAACCAGCACCTTGGGATGCCAACTGCACTGTTGCCTCCTGTTGGCTGGGAGGAGTTAGTACCCTGTCGTGAGCAAGGTATGTGGGAAACATGGACGACAAACTTGTCTTTCCACAGTGTCACAATTTATTCAATACAATAAATTCACAAGCTATGTCAATTTTGTTGACTTTAATTCACTAAGTACTATTGATTCCACTTGGAAATCATGGCCATTGATAACACAGGTTCTTTTATTCCTATCTTAATGACTAATATTAACTCAGATCACACACTACACTTGGCATAATATTGTATGTTTGATGTGTATACACATACACGCCATATGTACACCTGCCTCATTCATACATGTAATGTATATACCACATGTATATGTATACATACATATGTGTCACACAGTGACTACAGAAGGGTTAAAGGGACTGCCAGGTTCCCAGGGGCCTAGCTGAAGGCATCACAGGGAGCTGATACAGGTGCAAGAAAAAGTCTCCGTAAGGGACAGATAAGAAGTTTTATGACCTGACCTGTGGGCACAAAAGTATTCAGGGTGTAGAGTTGTCACCTGCAGCCCAGGTGCCGGGCAGTTTCAAGTGTCAGTTTGCAGTGGGCTGCATGCCATGGCCAAGAAGATTGTGCTCAAGCCCGGGGACAGAGGCAGGTGTCCTTTTCTGTGGCAATTTTTCTGGACAAGGCTCGTAATGGGTATCCTGGTGACAGAGTCAGTGTGTGGGCCACATCGCTGTCTTGGGGTCCTCCATTTGACTCCCCGGTGGGGAGACACAGCTAGTGTGACCGATGGAGTTTCTGGTATCACTGATATGTACTCACAGGTGCAGTTATTTGCTGGCACAAATAAATGACTTACTAGCTTGTGCCTCATGGTGTGCTGGCAGATGGTGGTTGTTTACTTGTGAAAGTAAGACGGGGAATCATTCTGTCTTGGCATTTCAACTCAAAATAGAGTAGCTTGGGTTGAAACCATTGCTTTATAACTTGGAGTCACTGAAAGCGAGGCACAGCCTGAGAGCTGCTGTTCGGCACACCGCAGAGCAACCCAGAGCAGGCCCAGCCTGTTCTCCTCACCCCATTCACAGACGAAGGGAGAGGCTGCACCACGGGCACCTGGCCAGGCAGGATACTGGGGTGCCGGAGCCCCACCTCTCATTCTCCCTTTCTTCCAGGAAGGGGAGCAGCTGGCCCCACTTCTCAGAATCCCCAAGCTGGGGTTCTCTCTCTTGCCACACGAGGATTGAGGAGGCACCTGAGGCTGGGTCACCTAGCCACCTGCCTGGGCATGTTCCACAGCCACAGGGAACAGGGGAGGCAGGGGCTGCGAGGGTTCCATGCCTCCTGGTGCCAGACAGTGCCTCAGAGCACAGGCACCTGGCTCTAGATGCTTCCGTCCCACAGCAAGGAGAGACAGCAGGAAGCTGAAAGAGATTGGGTGATCCGGGAGCTGCCTCAGCCCTGCCCAGACAAATTGCCTCACCTGGGCCAAGGCCCCTGAAAACTGGCCTCCCTGTAAGTTTGTAAGAACAAACTTAATTAAATAATCCCTTTGTGCCTTGGTCAAGCTGACCTGGGCACATTCCTTCCTGGGTTTTTCATCAAAGCTGTCAGTTCATTTTTCTAGAACGTTCTAACAGAGACCAGGAAGTTGGCTTACGGAGAAGGTACGCGGGTCCACTTCAGATGGGCACAGGGCAGGACAGACAGGGTATTAGGACCCCCCCAGAGATGGCCTTCTTGTGCTACGTGGGGACAGGTGGATGACCAAGAATGAGCCAGAAAGGATACCAGTCCCAAGGCACTCCCTCCTGTAGGTCATAAGCCTGGACACCAGACATAACAATTTTAATAACAACCACTTTATTGACAGCTTTAAGGCCAGATTAGAGGTGCTGGGAAAGGTTGCCATTAGAGTCAAGGTCATCCACCGTGTTCCTGTCCTGCAGTTTACGTTCTGAGGTAGGGACACACAGGGACCTCAGTGAATGGGCTTCTCCTCACCTGTGTGGCCTCGCTGTGGACACTTCCATTTTCTACCCTGGACATCAGAATGATGGAAACACCACTATTCCCCACAACTGCCATAGGGTTGAGTGAAACCCTGGTGGCGAAGGTTTTTGCACAAGGCCTGGCACACAGAGAACCCTGAGCAAATGCAAGTCCGAATCCACTGACTGTGGGAGTGGAGGGGAGGGGCTTTGAGCCTCCTGTCTTTTTAGAAGGAAAGGAAGAGGACAGGGACAAAGAGAAGGAGGGAGACGGAGAAGGGAGAGAGAGAGGACAGAGATAAGAGAGAGAAGCCATGGGCCCTTGACCGTTTTCCAGGGCTTGTTTCGAATTAACCAGAGCCTGGGCTGCCCTTCCTATATAGAGGTGGAAGCCTCCCAGACATTGGCTTAGCCTCATATCAATGGGTTTCTCTTATTTGCAACAAAATCAAAGTAAACCAAACAAACAAAAGACATCTGGGTCAAGAGAGTCTGACAGGCTGAGAGCCCGGAGGGGGTCTGTTGGAACCACCTTGGACTTGGATGCAGGGGAGCTCCTGCTCCAGACCTGGTGACCACAGAGAGAAAATCCAGCAGCCTCCAGCCACAGTGTGGAGCAGCTACCCAAACTCCTCAGCTGCTCCTGCCTGTGCCTGCTGAGAGACTGTCACAGCCAGGATGTGCACCACCAGCCCATATTCCAGATCCAGACCCCTACCCGCTCCCAGAGGCTGACTTCCCTTCAGGTCCATACTCTTCTTCCCCCTTCCCTTCTCCTCCCCCTTTCCTCCTCCTCCTCTTCCTCTTCCTGCTCTTCCTCCTTCTCTTCCTCCTCCTCCTTCTCTTCCTCCTCCTCCTTCTCCTCCTCCTCCTTCTTTTGCTAGGCAAGCACCCTACCACTTGACTCGATATATTTATCTTTAAGCAGGTTCTGCTTCCTCCCAAAGGATGCTGTGGGCCTAGCCAGGAGCAGTGTGGTCCTGGCTATCAGTGCCTGACACCCCACTCCATCCCTCACTGCGTAGGAACCCTTGAGCCCAAGTTCCTTGCATACAAATAACAGCACCAGCCTCCAGGCAGCTGTGGGGACCAGCCAACCCTGTTGTAGAAGCAGCTTCCAGTGGTGCTGGTGCATTTTAAGTACTCCATTGGATGCTATGTTCTGCTGTTCTTACTCAGATAGGGATGTCCCACCAAAACAGGGCTGGCAAGGTCAAGGTTGGTGGCCTAATCTGTGTGCCATCACAA